TCTGCCCAATAGGGCTTCACTAAAATGGGCATAACTTTTCACTCGGAAGGATTCAATTATCTATCTTACCATAGGTTATGGGATACACAATTCATTTTGTGCTAAAAGTTATGACCATCTGAAGTTGACCCATCATAATTTTCAGCTAACTGGCTGCTGAACCCTCATCTACGGTTGCCATCCACGGACCGTGGATCGAACGACGGTCCGTGCTGGTCGACCGTAGTTATGTCAGAGGGCTGGTAAAGGGGGGTCTCGATCCACGGACATAAACCACGGACCGTGGTTTGATCTACGAACCGTGGGTCTGTCCGTGAGTCGGGACTTAGCCAATTTTTCTGAGCTAGTTTGGAGAGGAGTTTCAGTGGTGAACCACGAACCACCAACACGGGCCGTGGTCTGACCTACGGTCCGTGGATGGAAACCGTGGGTTGCACCTTCAACTTCTCAAAATCTGTATTTTTGGTCTGTTTCTGATACGGGGTGTTACATAAGAATCCTTGGTTGAGATAAAATATTGCTTTAAATGCCCAAGCCTAATAGTGTATGCCCAACACATCATCTGTTTGTGGAATGACTTGTTCAGCGAGTTCCTTTAATGGTGGTTGTACTTTAGCTATTCTACTTGATTTATCAAAAGTGATTCACTTGTTTTTCTTTTGGAAGTCATTTTATCTACAAATAGAAAAAATGTTAACAAACAATTTGTGCATCATTAGAAAGTTAAATTAGAGGGGGCAATTGAAAGTGTTTTTGGTATATTTCGGCAAGCATGCACCTAAAGGCAATCACCACACAATCATTTAGTACGAACAAGTTAACACACGAATTTAGGCATGTAGTTATTTATTTATTTAATAAGATCGTGTAAGGATTATGAGCTCTCTTGTTTCACTATCTCAAATACAATGACAATTGGCAAAGGTATTCACCAAAATCCTTTCTAGTGTCAATACCCAAAGTCAATAAAAGAACGAACCAACATGGTTACCTTACTTGTCTATGATTAACTTTAAAAATAAAATCAAGTGAATCTCAATTATTTAAATTTGTATTCCACATGAATCAAAATTAGAGTAAAATATGCACTAAAATAACCACAGAAAATTGGATCAAAACTCCATCAGAAAATTGACCAAAACTTACCAAATTAGCTGTAAAAACAGCACCAAAATAGCTTTGAATGGACAAGACAACAAAAACTATATTAGAACAACACTAAAACAGCAAGAACTGAACAAAACTGATATCAAAACAACCACAAAAATTTAACCAAAATTGCATCAAGACAACAACAAAAACTGCACTAAATCAACTATCAAAATTGAAAAAAAATTTGCAGCAATATCTACACTAAACCAATAGCCAAAACTTACCAAAACTGCAGCAATATCTAGACTAAACCAACAACCTAAACTGACCAAAATTGCACTAAAGCATCTGCTTAAACTACAGCAAGCAACAAATACTATACAAAAGTGATAATAAAAAGGCCCTAGATAACATTTTGATAAACTAAAAAGAATGAAATCAATAAATAAAACTTAACAACGATTTGTTCATTCCAGTATTTCTTTAAAAAAAAAAGAACTAAAACCCCTAAAAAAATTTTAAAAATAAAGCTTTACCCACAAATCAATGTTCCCTTGGTTGGTTAGAATAGATGAATCGGAAGTTGAAAAGTTAGGCGTCGAAAGTTGAAAGTTGTCGAAGAAACTGGTTGGAAGAACGGAGCAATTTCAATTTTTTGAGAAGATCATCGTCTGCCCAGCCGAGAGAGAGAAGAACGTGTTTGAGAGAGAGGGAGTGAAAAGTTTATTTATTTAGTGTGTGGATTGTTTTGTATTTATAAAAAGATTATAAGTTTTTGAAAATATTAATTGAATCCCCAATTAATTTAATCAACTATTTAAATGTCTTTGACCTTTGTTTCGTCAACATTGTCACCAATAGTTAATCCAAGACTTAAAATACCTTTCCTTCAATTTTCTCAACACACCTTGGGTATCTGGAGTGCATAAGAGAAGATACTGGGAAGAAATGGAAGCTCTACTTGTAAGAAAACTGGGCGACCCAACTCTGCCACCAAATGCCTCGGAGAATCCATCACTCGATCTCTCAACCTCCCACCCTATTCCTAATTTGGAATCGCCAACCTCCGTTAGAGTTCGAATCAAAGCCACCAGCTTGAATTTCGCAAATTATCTCCAAGTCCTTGGCAAATACCAAGAGAAACCCCCTTTACCCTTCATCCCTGGCTCCGATTACTCCGGTGTTGTTGAAGCCGTTGGCCCTAATGTCACTAAGTTCAAAATTGGAGACCACGTTTGCTCTTTTGTTGCCCTTGGCTCATTTGCTCAATTCATCGTCGCCGATGAATCCGACTTGTTAGTTCTTCCTTATCTCTCTTCTGTAGAAAGCTAGTTTATTTAACAGTTTTGGAATGATCTCAATTAGTAGTGAAATGATTTGGGCCCAATTGAACGGAATGTCAATGTATTTGGATGAGTTACATAATCCAATTTAACTAGTTTGAATTGAGGTGTAGTTAATTGATTGACTGATTAAACAATTGAAATTAGTGTAGATTGTGTTTGGTACTTGGTGCATATATATTTCAAAATACACTAAAACTTGCTAAAAATGGGAAGGGTAGCCGATTGGTCTTTGTATATGATACAAACTAGATGTTCTCTTTTCTGTTTTGATTCAATGGTTCAAAAAGTGTATTAACTTTGTTTTGTAATTGAAGGTTTCAAGTACCTGATGGATGTGATCTAGTTGCAGCTGGTGCACTTCCTGTTGCATATGGGACATCACATGTGGCTCTGGTGCATAGAGCGCAGCTGCGTCCCAAACAGGTATGTCACCTTCCCTGTTTGGGCAGAAAAGGCTTATGCCATTTTGTTTATAATTTATTGTTTATACACCTGAAAGCATGCGACGTATATTGGTTACACGTTGTAGGTTTTACTGGTACTTGGAGCAGCTGGAGGCGTTGGGCTCTCGGCAGTACAAATTGGGAAGGCTTGTGGTGCGACAGTTATTGCAGTGGCTAGGTACTTGTAGATTCTTATGTGTACAAGAAAGTTGGTTTAAGTTTTTTTGTACTAAAATTATCCTTGTCTTGTCTGTTGAATCTTAGGGGAAATGAAAAGGTGCAGTTTTTGAAATCTTTAGGTGTTGATCATGCAGTAGACTTGAGCAGTGCAAACGTCATTGAAAGTGTCAAGGGCTTCCTGAAGTCAAGAAAGCTCAAAGGGGTTGATGTCTTGTATGATCCAGTCGGTGGGAGGCTTACAAAGGATAGCTTAAAGCTATTAAATTGGGGGGCACAAATTCTGGTTATTGGATTTGCAAGTGGGGAAGTACCTGTCATCCCAGCCAACATTGCGTTGGTGAAGGTATTGCCTCTAAGCACCCTAGTCTTTTTTCCCTTTTACCCATTTGGTTCTTTCCTTGTAATGCATTTGATTGTACAAGAAATGTTAGTGCTCAATAAAAATGTATTACTCTAGTTTGTTAGATTCTTACCAAGATGTATCACTTCAGTTAATGAAATTCCTCTTCCACTGCAAATTGATGTCCTATGTTAGTTCACTTTGGAGTTGAGAAGGCTTCTTAAATCCGTAATGTTAAATTGTGAAATCTGTAAGTCCCCTCTTTGTTGTCTTGGAATTGAATGGGTATAGAACAGTAGTGAAAATGGTCTTGATGGTTATGTAGTATGTGAAGCAGGTATATTGGGGACACAGGTTAAAGAGTTGAAAAGGCTATTAAATAGTTATTGGAGTTCCATTTTCAAAATAATAATAGTAATAATTATTGGAGTTTGTTGTTTAATTCGGTTTGTAGGATACATGCTATATCATGGATTAAGTTTGAACTCGTGAAGCCTGTGAATTGTTGTTATCAGACTCGTCTATGCATGTGATTCAACTTTATATGTGCTTCAGCTACCATTGTTGGTTACTAGTGCAGCAATTTGTTGAGTATTTTCATTTCCAAGTAAAGATCTTCTAACGATACAATGATACATGCATAGATTGCGTTATTCTTAGATCCCACACAAGTTTGTCTCATTATGTGCAGTGTTAGAAGACACCTGTCTGATCATGGTGCATAGTGTTGCAAGTTTAGAGTAAGATTCGTGAGAGAATCAAGCCAGATCTGATTTGCTTGAGCTGAAATACAAAATTTCTATTAGGATGTGCTTGATTTGGTCTGCCTCAGTGCTTTATGATTCAAATTTCGCTTCTAGATAATTTTGGACGAATGGTAGAATCAAGATTTAACAGGCAACTGATGATGTTACTTGTTAACAAGGGCACATGCATAATTAGAACCAAAATGGTGAATAAATGAAGAACAAATATGCAAAGCAACTATTATCAGACCTACTACTGCGATGACCCACAAAATATATAAGGCAAAAAGGGCTAGAAATTTTTTTCTGATATCAATAAAATGGGCCTCGGCCCAACATAATTTGCCCCAAAACAAAACTTTTTTCTGAGTACTAAGAATCTGTTTGGATTAGCTGATAGGTATCTAAGTGCTGAAAAACATTTTTAAGTGCTAAAACTGATTTGATATATAAGCAATTCTGTGTTTGGATTGAAATGTTCAAACTGATAATAAGCCGTAGATGTGTTTGGTAAGAAAGTGTAGTTATAATTGTTCTTTTGTTAAAATGACAAAAATACCCTAGCAATTTCTCAAAAAGTTAGAAATGTATAATTATATTTGTAAGAAAAAGTCGGAATAACAAATATGGAATGGAAAGGAAGGTAGGACTTTTTGTTTTCAAGAAGGTATTTGAGAATTTTAAAAAATATTTAGAAATAAAATAGAAAAACGCTTGGTCAAAACTCAAACCAAAAGTGCTTATAATCTAAAAAGCCATAAGTTGGGAGTGACCAACTTATGGCTTTTGCTGATTTAATTTGTTCGAGTGTTTACTAGATGCAAATAAGCAATGTGCTTATAAGCCATTTTGACCAGCTTATAAGCTTCGCCAAACACCCTCTAAATTACAGTTGGGCTAGAGGTGATGCTGGACTTGGAAAATAGGTTGCTTTAGCTCCTAGGCAACTTCTATTACAACAACAACAACATACCCAGTGAAATCCCACTAAGTGGGGTTTGGGGAGGGTAGAGTGTAGGCGGATCTTACCACTACCTTGAGGAGGTAGAGAGGTTGTTTCCAAAAGACCCTTGGCTCAAGTGCATCAAACCCAAGTAAAAAAAAAAGAAAACAATGAAGAAAGCATAGTCGTTAATAAGAAAGGCAGTGTAAAGTCTACAAGAAAGAAACAATAACAACAGTAAATATGTGATAATTGAAACACAATACACAACATATGGCAAGAGCCACAAGGGTATGACTAGTACTACAACATACACTAACAAGCCTAAACATACGCACGGCAAGACAACACTCATCCCTACTAACCTTCTACCCTAATACATGAACTCCACTCCTTTCTATCTAGAGTCATGTCCTCGGTGATATGAAGCAGCGCCAAGTCCTGTCTAATCACCTCTTCCTAATACTTCTTGGCTACCTCTACCCCTCCGGATACCCCCTACAACCGGCCTCTCGCACCTCCTCATTGGGGTGTCAACACCTCCTTTGCACATGCCCAAACATAGGCAACTTCTATTGGGTGAAGAAAAAGATAGATGAGAGAAACAGATGCTGAAATTTTTCCATAGTATTAAAGTTGAATACTTCAGGAGCAATAAGAAAGTGCAGCATCAAGAACCAGTGATTATGATCTTTATTGAGGTTTAGGGGTTGGTGGGAGTGGGAGAGTACTGAAAGAATGTTTGGAGAAAAGGGCTGCAAGAAGGAAGAACTAGTGGACCAGAATGGGACAGAGGAGAAGGGTGTAGCAAGAGGTAGAAAGATGGAAGAAGATGAGAATAATTTCTTATAGCAGCCAATTTCCAGGTTTAATCTCTTAGAATTGATCATGGGGTTGAAGATTGGAGCATCTATATAATATCTTACAGATCTTGTCCCATATATTCTTCTTACTTGTACATATCCCAATTGAGATAATCTGCCGGTCAAATTATGTAGCTCTGAATTAGATATGTCCAAGCCTGCTAAGTTGAGTTAAGCATGTTGTGGGCACGACTAGCTCCTTGTACCAACTAATTAGTTTCGATACAAGTAGTAAGTTCAAAATTCATGTTCACAATATAAACTGTCATAATTCAAACCACATCTACTATGTTGAAACATGCTAGTAGCATAACATTTCTCAATCTTGAAGAATCTTAAGAGTCAAAATTCACGGTATTGTCACAAGAGGATGGCAAGACATATAAAAGTAACTGATTTCTTTTAAGACATGTTGCTCCTAAATAATTGCATCACAGGTCTCTCCACCTTTTGTTTCATTATATGAACTAGCTACTTCCAAGTATCCAGGAAACTAATAGTACAAGCAGCATGAGCTACAATTGACTTTTCTTACTTTTTATCTCTGTTTACCCCGTCACCCCTTTTCTTACTTTTTTTTTAAATCTCTGCTTACCTCCCCCCACAAACCAAAAGAAAAAGTAGAAAGCATATTTGTTTTCCTTGTATAGTAATAGCATAATTTTTTCTACAATTTTCGTTTTTCAGAACTGGACAATTCACGGACTGTATTGGGGAAGCTATAAGATACATCAACCCAATGTGCTTGGAGATTCTCTGAAGGAGCTTCTATCTTGGCTGTCTAAGGGTTTGATTACAGTCAACATTTCTCATACATTCAGCCTGGCAGAGGTAAGAAGCTATGGCCTTTATTACTTATTAAATCCGTGAAAAGTAAGAGAAGGATTCTAGAAATGTGTAGGGAAATTAGTATTTCACATTTGAAAAGGCTGATATACGATTCACCTGAATTAATTTTGGCGAGCACAAAACCAGTATATAAAACTAAAGCTCGTGCTTGTCAAAGATAGTATCAAAGATTGTCGAACCCACGAGGATTAGGATAATTTTATGCTAATTGAGAGTGATTAATTACTATTTGAGAATTCCAATAGTTGAGGAAGTTTGATTGTTAAATAAATTAATTAACTAAGGAAGAGTAATGGCACACTTCAAGTAGACAAATATAATTCAGAGAGGATGAATGAGCCATGACACGAATCCACCTGTTGAATAATTAGTGATTTTGGTCTCCTTTCACCAGCCTTCGTAAAGTATGAACGTTTCTTGCGAATACATTCAATTCTTCTTGTACCTTCTAATAATCATACTCCCTTCGGATATACAATGAAAAGAAAGAACAAAAAGTATAAAACATGAAGGTAGTGTTCAATGATTCCCTATAGATCTACAAATATTGATTTCTTTCGAATATCTTTGTGACACTTCTAGTGTTGAATTACTAATTCTTTCTTGCAATAGATTAATATACAACCGTAGAACGTCTGACAACGAATTAAACAGTGGAGAAACTCAATCATCTCTTGCGATTAATAATTTAACATCTCCTCAAGAAATCAGGTGAACACATGAGAAAAAGACGAAGTAATCACTAATCAAACCATAGGTTTCATCTTAACTCGATTACAAAAAGTTTGCTCCATACGTTGAGAGAAATCAACCATTGCTATATTAAACATTGACAAGTTCATGATTCAAGAGAATAGAAGAAAAGATGAATCAAAACCAAGAAGAAACTTGTGATAAATCTTCAAACTATCATCAAAACTTGGAATTTTGTGTTCCTTTTCTCTCTCTTTTCATCCAAAAGATGCGTTCTGTCCCCTCCGCCCTAGCTTCCTCCAAAAATCCTTTTTATATCCCCCTCGCGCAGAGCTAAAATAGATGAGCTGAAATTCTGCATCCTAGTCGCACCGTCGTGAGGACCAAAACTTCACCACTGCAATGGTCATGGCTGGTTTACAAATTCCTGAAGGAGTGTTGCAGCGGTCAAAACTTGACCGCTGCGATGATCCAGGCTGTTTTGCATCCAATATTTCTTCAGCTAATTAATTTTCATTCCTTGCATTTCTTTCGCTTGAATCTTGTGTATTTTCTCCTTGTCTCCTTCATAGCACACTTATCATTAAAACAACATAAATAGTGAGGAATTACATCATATAATACTCAAAACTCAACAATTCATATATGAGAAAAAGCATTAATACACATATAAATGTGACTTATCAAACTCCCCACACTTGAACCATTGCTTGTCCTCGAGCAAAAACAAATAACCCCAGAAAAACTACAGTTGAAGGATATCAAAATAAGTTCAGAGCTTTGTTAATCAGCAAACTTGACTTAGATCTACCAAGAGAATTGAACACCCTCTTTTCTTGCTCATAGTCACGTGTTGACAGTGAACTCTTGCGTCCCTGGAATCCCTATGCCTCACCAAACAGATTACCCCAGATTCACAAAAGGTATCAAGCCAAAAATTGCAAAATGAAGGGGAATGTTCAAGAACAATAACACTCGCACTCAGCAAAGAAATTCTTGTGCCACACAGAAGAGTACCATAAGCTTGCTTATTTTGTTGCTATCCACTAATATAGGAGTTCTCAAGTAAAGATCAAGTAGGGCTTTTCATTTGGTTGTAATGTGGATGTTGTAAGACTGTCATATGAGAAAAAAATGTTCTTTTCTCTCTCATCCCCACACCCACTGTTTTGACCTAACTTTACTTATGCCTCCGCCGCCGGCCACCACTCCTCCAGTCCCGGTGGTGAGCCATACCCTGATTTCCATCTTTATTTTCCTCCACTTCCCTCCACTCAAATGCCAGTTATTTCTTCCACTTCCCAAAATCCTAATCTAAAGTTTCCTACAGATTCTCAATCCCCAACCTCGTCATAAACTATAGTGCTTTATTGAATCCAAACAATCTGAATCGGTCTGTTTTACCTACAAATACTACTATCGAGCCTATTCCGTTGAGACAAGTTGAATATGACAATGGTGTTCCAGTAGATAATGAACAGAGGCTGAAGTTACTCGTATGAACATTATCGAACACTTACAATATGCAGTGATTGGTTAGTTTTTGTACGGCTAGCCTGATATAAAAGATATAAGGAAAGGAATACCTGTGTAGTGTGGTATCAATGGTACTTGTCGCATAAGAGTTTTGCACAACAAGCACATACTTATTAGATGTGCTCTTCTGAAAGACTTGGTCAATTTGTTGTCCAAGCATGCATACTACATCAAGGATAAGAAGGTATAGCTTATCAGATATTCAGATGCACCTACTAATCTATAATTCGACTTTTAGTCTCTAGATAAACTAGGCAGGCTATGGCATGAATCTCGTTTCCTAATCTTTTTCCTACATTCTTTGTAAAAGAATCTTTATTCACGTTAGCCTCAGCAGTGGGTAAACCACTTCACTTAGATATGGCCACCATTAGTAGAACCAGCCCTAGTTGTGCTAGAGTCCAGGTTCAGGTGGACCTATTATCTAGTTTCCCAGTGTCGGTGAGAATAGAAATTAAGGCTGAGGCTATGGGACTTAATTCATACAAAGGTTGTCAAATTACACTACAACTATCTTCCTAGTATTGTTCTGAATGTAAGTTACAAGGCCAAAACACAACCAATTGCAGAGTATTGTATCCTGAGTTGAGGCAGGCCCAAAGGGACACCTTTGATGACTAAGGCAAAAGTTATTTTCTTTTTTGCCCTTGTGTTAAACAATCTGGTTGTCAGACGTACTGATAGCATGAGTTTAGAAACTCAGGAACAAAATAGAGAACTTAAGGGTGCGTTTGGTATGGAGGATAACATTTTCCAATTTTCGCATGTTCGGTTGGACAAAATTTTGGATAACATGTCCTCTAGGAAAACAAGTAAAATGACTTTCTTAATGGAAGTAGGGTAAACGAGTTCATTGTCTCCTTCCAACCCACCCAACGACCCC